GACTGCTACTAGAGCCTACTCAAGCATTTTCACATTTATGCTCACTTTGCATTCTATGTTTAGAGTAAAGTCGCTTATCCACCCAAGCATCCTCATCTCTGCAACACTTAATTCCTCTCTTTTAATGCACATGCACCTTAAAACATTGCAGGTCTCACCATCATCTCATAAAATTGTCCCTTATGTTTGAGGGTTACTTTTCTATCACACAACAGGCCCGAAGCATTTCTCCACTTCAACCATCCAACTTGAATTCTACTAATAATATCCCCATCTATTTCACCATCACTATGAACAATAGACTTGAGATATCTAAACATGTACTTTTATTAATGACTTAATTACCTAAAGTCGCAATCCCCCACAAGATCTATTACCACTAAAATTACACTCCATGTAATCGATTTTAGATCTACTTAAAAAGAAAACCTTTACACTCTAAGAGTGATCTTCATAATTCAAGTTTCCCTTCAACTCCCTCTCTAGTCTTATCAACAAGAAGAATATCATCAGCAAAAAACATACACCAAGGTACATCATCTTGCAAATGTCTAGTAAGAACATCCATGAATAAAGCAAAAAGATATGGTCTCAAAGCTAATCCTTGATGTAATCCAACTAAAATAGGAAAATACTTAATCAAACCACCTTATGTTTGAACATAAGTAAAAGCTCATACATACATATCCTTAATGACTTGAGTATAAGCATTATTAACCATTTTCCTTTCTAAAACTCACAATAACAATTCCTTGGAACTTTATCATAAGCTTTCTCTAAATCAATAAATATCATATATAGATCATTTTTATTCTCTCTATACTTCTCCATCAAACCTCTCAATAAATGTATAGCTTATGTAGTAGACCTATCTGGCATGAATCCAAATTGATTTTGAGAAACATTAGTATTACATCGTAACCTATACTCAACAACTCTCTCCCATAGTTTTAAAGTGTGAAACGTAAATTTATTTCTCTATAATTCACTCAATTTCATGCATCACTTTTATTCCTAAAAATAGGAATCAACACACTCCACTCATTTGGCATCTTTTTAGCCTTCAAAATAATATTAAAAAATTTTGTAAGCAAGAAATTCCTTCATCATCTAAGCATTTCCACATCTCTATTGGACCAATACACTTCATTTTCTTTAAAACCTCCCTAGCTTCAATTTACTAATACGTTAATAAAAATAAAAATCTCTATTTTCTTTTAAGGTGCTAAGGTCACTAAAGTCAATCATATTATTATAATCTTTATTGAAAATCTTATCAAAATATCTCCATCTTTGTTGAATATCATTTTCTAATAAAAGCAATTTTTATCTTCATCCTTAATGCATTTCACTTGAAATAAACCCTTCTATCTCCTTATTTGGATAACCTATACATACATCTTTCACCCTCCTTAGTATGTAATCTATTATACAAATCATTAAAAGTTAAATTCTTTGCATCACATATTGTTCTCTTACTCTTTACGAGCCTCTTTATATTTTTCTCAATTTTTGATGTTTTTACATCTAAAACTAATTTTTATAGTAATTTTAATATTGAGTTTTAAACTACTCACTTCTAGCTTATTGTGATGTGTATCACTTAAGGATGGTGTTGCAACATACCCTTGCCAACTTTCTTAAGTTAAATCGTGTAATGACACTTTTAAAAAATGTCCCAACACAAATAAAGTTTAAATTTTGATTCATTTCATTAGTTTTAGATTTATGTTATACAATTAGCTACCAACCGAATATCAACAGAATTTTTTTTTTTCAACTAGTTTAAAAAATAAAATTGATCATTATCAAAGACCCAAATGCTACAAATAAAATAATAACCAGATTTTTTTGAAAAATAAATTAAAATGATGATAAAAATATTAAAGATAGCATTGGCCAATTAATAAAATGATTGCAAAAATAATGATCACATAGATAGAAGAACCAATCAGCAAAAGCAAAATATAAGGCTACTTAGGTGCTACAAATTATCTCTTACTAAGATTCAAGTAGTTTCCATTAATCAGTTGACAATTTAATTATATTTATTAATGATTAGAAAGATAAATTAGTTTAAACTTTATAATAATCTTTATTTTAGTCATTCAACCCTCTTAATTAATCAACTTAGATAATGCTGCAGTATTATTTTTTATCAAATAGCTTTAGCTACTATTTTGAGAATCTTTAGTATTTTACCACTCTTATATGTAGTTAGTTAAAGGTAAAGCAAACAACAATACGACGGCATAGGGAATCATCGAATTATGCTTTATATAAAGCAAATTATTTGGATTAACTAAACAGCTAAATCTAGAAATAGGAACAAAAAGTTGGAGTACCAATTAACTACAGTTATTTTGATATGGGAAACCATGTAAAGTATTATCATGAAGAATTATGCAATCAAACAGGAAAAGATTTATTTCCAATTCAGTTTGGATGATCAGAGCCTTCGTCACTGTTTGCAGCCTGGGTAAGCTTCCCCTCCTGTCTGGAATATGATAATCATTAGGTTTTATATTATCAATTATATTTAGCCTGCACTAACAATAGTTTCTTACTTAGAACCAACATTATCACCTTTGCACAAAGAAACTGGCCTGAAAGGCAGAAATTAGTTCTCAAACTAGTACAAAAGTACTAACCTTTACCTAAACAACCTCCAGCAAGTTATAGTTACGAACACCCTAAACAGACCCTAAGATTTGATTCCAACAAAATATTCATTTAAACACACAAATGGAAAAAGGGAGTAAAAAGATAGAAGGAGATGGAGTTCCACTCTTCCAATCTCCCCACCTCTACACCGACAATTGTGACTTTTCTTTGAAAGCTCAACAAATCAAATGCAAGTTAGAAGTTCAAGAAAAGACATCTTCCTCCCCCACATGATTGCCTCCATTTTTTATTTTCCTTCTCCATCTGTTTGGATTTTAATCCACTTTACACAACTTTGGGCTAATAGAATTTCTAAAGTAAAAAAAGAAATTGACTTCTAACTTAATTTAATTAATTAACAGATTAGATTTCTATGAATTTGAACAATGCACATTGTACCAACACCATTTTCTCTTGATAATTTCCTTAGCTAAATTAAAAATATATTTGTAAAGGAAAAAATTTTTAATGCCATTTAATCCAACATGGCTTATTTGTTTATTTTTAAACTAGGGGAAAATCCACTTTTTTGTACATTCAATCTTAGAATCTTCTTGGTTTGATTTAGGATAGATGAGGATCCGGAGACATGAAATGCTAAAACCTTATTGTGTGCAGCAAAGCATGGTATGTCAGCCATATTCATGGCTTCAATTTCAAAGATATACGAATTAATTTTTAAAGGCGTATGTCTCTGTTTAAAATTGCGCAACAAGAGGCGCGCCTCTGCGCAATTTGCCCCAAATACGCCTCGAGGCTTATGCAATTTTCCTCTTGGCAAAGGCGTATGCCTCACCGGGTCTGAGGCGCGCCTCTAAGGCGCAATTATAGGTGAGGCATACGCCTCATCAACCCGGTCCCACGGTGGGTTAAAATTCACCGCACCAACAATATGAGCTGTTCGACCACTATTTAAACTTCCAGCGGTACATGCTTGGTACCGAGCGGTACATGCTCGGTACCGAGCCAATACCGCTCCGTACCGAGCAGTACATGCTTGGTATTTTTTAAACGAATCGAGCTCGAGCTCGAGTTCGAGCTCATTGAGGGTTAAACGAGCCAGGCTTGATAAGCCAGATACTCGACTCGACTCAACTCTGACTCGTTGACACCCCTGACTCCCACCTACAGACGGGCTCCCGCAGGCTCGGACTCCCTTCCCGCCACCTGCTAAAATCCTTAAATTCTCATTTACGCAATTCCGTGTCCGTGAGGCTTACGCCTCAGACCGCCTCGACGCTTACACCTCGCCTCACGGACGAAAACCGCCTCGACGCTTATTTACGCAATTTTAAACCTTGGCGTATGTAATTTGGTTCGATCGATTATTTATTAATTTGAAATGAACAGAACTTTCCTCAAATCATCAAGCTTTTCCAATGTCCCTACAAATAGGATGCTCAATAGTAAAAGATAGCAATAAAACAGCAATGCAACCCAACCGACCTAGACAGTTGCATTCCCCTAATGACAACAACATGCTCCCATGAATGCTCAATGGTCGGTCCTCTTAATACATCAATAGCAATTTGCTCCTCAAATGTAGTCCTCTTGGCATATCGGCATCCTCAAAGTGTGCACAACAACTAAAAGGATCTCAAACCTTCAAGACCAACAACCACACCTTAGGCAAATTTAGCAGTTAAGTTCACAAGTGAGAAACAATTTTTTTTTATTTACTCCATAATTTTCTTTTTTTTCCCATATGCCTTGCTTTGACAATATAAAGATCAAGGCAAAAGGAATGCATATGCCTGTAAATTTTAAATTTTATTTTAATTTATACATCATAGATACAATATTATTCTTCAAAACAATACAAATACTAATAAATGTTACATTTTTAAAGCACAAAATTTATTTGATGTCGTTTTGATAATTAGAAGAGCATACATTCATAGTTATTAAGGAGCTTATAGTAAATTTTGGATTACTTAATTTGGTGAAAAAAAGTTGTCATACTTAAATAATATAGAATTTTTTTATTATTTAAGAATTTGTCAACTTTTAACCAAATTTCAAGTTTAACTAATGTATTATGAACATATTGAACGAAGTATTTTTTGCTTAAACTAAGCCATGCTCAATTAGTGCTTATGCATACTATTAGTAATTACAAAAAACTATATGCACACAATCGATGAACTGATAAACATCAACATGGTACATGAATTCCTACAGTAAATAATTTATCATCAAAACAACTCTTTTTTCCAAAGCAAGCAAAAATGAAAATGAATGTAGAAATCATGGCATCTAAAATTTGCAGGAAAATAAAGATGCAGATAATACTCTCAAGGCTAAAATTATCTGACAAAAGTTAAAAGGCATCTTGCCTTCTGAAGGGTGCTCAAATCCAGAATCAACTATAGCACGTAGAAGTTCTGGCTTTAACAAAAAGTCTCTAAATCCGGAGCTGTGAATTCCAACATAACCCCTACATCAAAAATAAACATAAGAGATTAATTTCCCTAACACCAAAAGCTTTTTAAATATTGTTTATAATAATAGTCTGATTATTCAAGGAGACAATAAGATACAGAAAGAGGGCAATAAATTGCCAATAAACATCTATGTAATGAAGTGAGCAGCCAAACATGGAAAAGAAATACAAATATTTTGCTCTTTTAACAAAAAACAAAAAAAACTGCTAATGGAAACGTATGGATAGAGCACTGCATAGGCCATGGGAAAAGCTCAGTACAAGTTATGCAAAACGAACAGAAATATTACCATAGAAACCCTATAGAACAAAACTAGCCAAATCAATGAAATATGGTTTCCACTGCACATAGATCAGGGAAATAGATGACGAAACCCACTGAGAATTCTTTAGCGGTGCAACTTTACTGAATTAGCTAAAAAATTGTGAGATGCAAACTAAATAAAAATATAGAAAAAAAAAAAGTTTGCAATCATAATAAAGCTCCCAGTTTTGAAATTCACAAATAACAACCAAGTCTATTACTGGGATCATAGTATGCAGATCCAAAATTAGATTTTGAATAGGATGAAAGAGAACATAAGTTAACAAGGCTGGAAATATTACCACAAACTTCTACAAGAGAACAAGATTTTAGCTCGATATCAAAGCATCCACAAAGGGCTAGAAAACAATTAAAGTAGCAAAATAACATAAGACGAGGAAACAATTTAAGCGGGTTTGTCTTACTTCTTTGCCGTTTCACCACCAGCCTTCATCCCAACGGAGTCTGGGGCCTTCTCTTCGTCTTCCTCATAGTCAAGAAGCTCCTCTTCGTAGGCGTCGTTATCCCTTGCATCACCCATTCTGCAGATCAACAAATATTAAACCCATAAAATCCAGTAACACTTGTAAGAACATGAAAAATAGAAGGTAACAGGAACTGACCTTCGAAGAAAGATTTTTGTAAGATATTAAAATGATTTGGAATTAGAGAAAAAATGGATTCTGCAAGAAAAAACTGTGATAAACAAACTGGAGATCTGAACTAGGGTTCCTAAGCGAACGTTATGTAATGAAAGCATAAACTAAGCTAAGTTTTCGGAGTAATAAGGATTACAAGGAAAGATAAAAAGTAGAGGAAGACCTAGGGTTTCTAGGACGAGAGCACTGAAGTCCCAAGCTAGGGTTTGAGAGGGGCAGAAGATGGGAGAGAGCAAGGGGATGAGGTTTGTGGTGGATACGGAATTTTATAGACCACTTGAGGGCATCATTGAAGATCAGCCGTCGTAAAATAACGGGATCCACCGTTGAAACAGGTCTCGGTCGCAACACCAGCCACACGATGGAAATCCATCAGATTAGTGTACGTTAGGTTAAATTGGGTTGGATTATTTGTCGTGGGTTGTTTTAACTAAATTTTTCATTACATACATTAGATTTAATTATTTATAGTAAATAATTTGTATTAGAATATTTTGATATTTTTTAAAGATAATTTAATTTTATGAGTGATATTAAAATTTTATATGAGTGATAAAAATATAATATTAAAATTTAGGTGTTATATATGTAAATAAGGATCATTTTGATGTTTTGATCCTATTATCTCTAATCTAAACCCTTTAAATTACATACAAAATTATTCAATTTTGAGAATTTATTTCAATATAATTATTCAGATTATATGCATGAGCCTAGATTATATTCATATCTCTATATCTTGAATTATATGTAAAATCAACCTTCTTTCTTCATTTATCTTAATTGCACAAGTAGAAGCATGCCATTTAGAGCTACACATAGCATTTAAAATTTTTATTTTTGTTATTATATTTGCAAAATGATAAATCTTAAAGTATATGATTTGAATACTTATAGGAAAACATTTTTATTATCATCTAGTATTATTATCTTTCCCTCAAACTAGTCTCAACTTCCACCACTATCGTTATGGGTACAATCCACATTCTCTCATATTAGTCATTACATGTTGTATAGTTTTTTCCCTCTCTTCTTAAACTCAATAGCTACATAACAAATTAATTCTAACTAAACCAAGGATATCTAATAAGGAATTCCCTTCATGTTCTTGTTTATTGGCATTTCTTTCTACAACCCAAACCATTAAAAATGTTATCACCATGCAAGTCCAAATTATACATAAACATCTCACTATCTATCACTCTCTTCCAAATTTATGATAAATGAAATTCCATCTAATTTATCAAATGATTTGAGGCATACTACCATGTTACTTGTGCTCCAAGTGGAGAATGAATTGAGTATTTTGAAATCTTAATTTAGGCTTCGTTTGGGACTACTTTCTTATTACTTTTTAAATCAGCTTTCTAGTACAAAAATTAAAATTTTTGTACTATAAAATATTTTTAAGAAATAGTAAGAAAGCCATCTTAAGTGAAATGTTAGACTTCATTTTGGACGGCCTTCTGACTATTTTTAAAAGCAGTTTTCTAGCACAAGTTTTTTTAGCTAAAAATTTGTATTATAAAATTGCTTTAAAATAAAGTAAAAAATTGTCCCAAACTAATCTAAGAAAAAAATCTCAATAAAATAAAAGTAAGAACAATGGCTTGCGCAATTATACAATTATTATATGACAAAAATAAAATAGCAGAAAATATAATTAGGATATAATATAATGAAAGTTCGTTAAGGATGTTAAGCCCTATAGAACCGGCCCAAGCTAACCAAGAGGGAGGGTGAATTGATATTTTAAAATTTCTTTTCAACAAAAGCAATAAGATCACAAACCAAAACTAAATCACACCACAAGACAAAAACAATGCGGAAATTTAAAGTGCGGAAGCAAGAAAATAATAACACATAAATTTATAGTGGTTCGGTCAACTTGACCTACATCCACTCCTTGGAGTCACCCTCCAAGTATTGCACTATAAAACGTGTCTCTCCTTTAGCCCCCACAGCTAGGCAGAGAAGCCCTCACAAAGAAGTCCTTTTTGCCACCCCGGCAAGGCAGAGAACCTATCTCCTTTTGCTTCCTCCTGAAGCTGGCAGAGAACCATAATCTAGTGCTGAAAACCTTACCTCTACCGACCCTTCCATGGACAATAAACTCTAGACGAAGAAGAAGCAGAGCGATCCTTGAAGCACCCTTGTGAATTCCCTCACAAGCTCCCCCTCACAAGATCCTCTCTCTCTCTCCCTCTCTCTCTTTCTCTCCTCAAGGCCTTCTCAGGTCAAGGCAGCAGCAAAAGATTGTTCAAAAATGTTGAACAAGAGCTCTTAAATAGAAGAGCTTCAAAGGAGCTCATTAATTGCAAGTTGCCGTAAATATCGTCTAGGCCGATATGGACATCGGCCTGGCCGATCAGTACAAATCTCAGAAGATCGGCCAGAGCATCGCCCTGAATGCAAACTGGATGATTTAAAATTAGCTTGATCGTCCCGGCCAATCTCTTTGATCATTACAAATAGACTCAAGAAGAGAAAAATAAAATACAGACTGACTCAACCCTAAACCTACGCAATCTTGAACTGCTTCGTTTGTTCGTCCGATCTTTGATTCCTAAAAAGTTAGAAGTAACAGGTAGTCCAAGAGAATCAATAGTGTTTGTCAATCATCAAAATATAAGTCATGAAAATAGATTTGCAACATATAATTTTGTGTAGTTTGATTAAAAAAGATCCTATGTCCACGCTTAGATGCTTCATGCAATTTTGGATTCTTGTAGTCGAGCAATACCCATTTGCTCTATGTGAATAGAGGAATTACATTAACAGCTTAGTTATAAGCAATGCCACTACCTCTTATATCAGGGGAAAATTAACACCACCACATAGATTCGGTGTTTTCTCTTATTTTGAGTTTGAATATTACATTGAGAATAATATACATTCTTAGGAGCCTGATACAATAATCTACAATGAATTCAATATCAAAATAAGATTTTGAAAATGATATTTGTATGAACACACATAATTCAAAGAATAACATATCATCTCAGAAGATGAACATGAATTATTTAGAGTGTGTTTAAAAATAGAAATAGAATTTTTAAAATACATCCATCATTTTGATTAGAAGTAACAAGGAGAATAATATATCATCTTAAAAGACGAACATAATATTCTTCAAGACATCTAAAAATAAAAATGGGTTTTATAAAATTCATTATTTTTAAGAATGAATATAACATGTAAAAATTATATTATCTGAAAAGACAATAATAACACTCTATAAGTATATTTAAAATTAAAAATGTGTTGTTGTTTTTTAAAGACATCTACATTCCAAAAGAACTTTCCCTTTCTTTATAGAAATAAAATAAGTTATATTTTAATATGGAGTTCTCAAATCCCTATTATGGCAAGCCCCTAAAGTTAATTACATCCTATGAGGGATGCTTCTAAGAAAACTCTCGATTAAAATAGTAATTTCATACCCTTTGATTACAAAGTAGAAGACAATGAAAGGAGTAAAAAAATTTTCAAGGAGAAATCTCAATATTGAATGGTCTTAGCAAATAAAAGGAGGAAAAATAGAAGGTATCAAATTCTAAGAAGCTTAGAGGCAATCTCAGTCTATCATATATTGAATTTTACATTTTAAGAGAGAATTTTTATGTTTAGGTTATCATTTTATTAGAAATGTGGGATTATCTTCCCGAATGATGGGGACTTATATTTTTTAGGTCTACTCTGAATCTTAAGTTTAATTTTGGTACTACAAAGTAGTGACCCAAACCTATCTAATGATGTATAAATCTGGACTTACCCTAGCCTAGATTGGAGAGCCAACTAACCACATAGGTACTTTAAAATCATGTGTCTGATCTTTTTATGAAAGATGGATAGGAATATTATTTTGTATTTTTAAAAAATAGGGGCCAACATGTAAGACAAATCCTAGTTACCCCCCTTAATTTATGTAGAGTAAATAATGCTTGAAAATAAAATGTAATTAAAATTTTAGCCTTTTAACTTGTATCTAATACAATACATAATAATTAACTCGAATGCATAAAATGATTATGAAGCAGATTTAAAATTAGGCTTAGAAAATAGATTATTCCCTAGAGATTGCACAACATCCCCTTGATAGAAACAGCATTCTTATAGGCAAGGTAGTCTGCCAAAATCTATAGGTGGGGAGGTGCATGCCTAATAAGGAAGAGAAAGTAATAATATGTATATATGCTGACTCTCAATCTATCCCGAGTTTACTTCTTAGAAAGTTAAAGTTTCTATGTGAGCCTAAAACTTTTATTGAAGTTTTAAGTATAAAAGATTTTTATTCGTACCCTCACAAAACTTATATCGTATTCAGGCTAAAAGAAAACATGACATGCAAGAAAGCATAGAAAAATAGATTATTTCTAATGTGCAAATAATTTTAACAATTAAATTAAAAAATCCATAATACAATGTCCAACATCCATATAATGAGTGCCACTTTATTTATAATCAGGAATTTGCTAAAAAGTAAAGTGGTCGGGTACCACTGATAATAAACTCAAATTCTAATTCTAAGACTGACGCAAGTGATTTTAAAATGTGATATCTTCTTTTCTTCACTTCTTCGTATTATCTCTTTACTCTTCTTTTCTTCTGTGAGCTCCTTGAATTCGTCGGGTTTGATTATCCAAATGAAAAGAAACTCATCCTAAAAAGAGTATTTTCTTTTTCCTTTGGATATTAAAGTCATCCTAACTTGGCTTTCCAAATAGAAGAGAACATTCCCTTAAGGGATACTCTCTTCTCTTTGGATTTTAAGTTAGATATGATATCCCAATTTTAAATAACTTTTATAGTACAACTCTTTCAAATACATTTACATCACATCTCAAATATAAAAGAAAATCTAGATCACCTACAAGGTTATCCTAAGTAGTTACAATAAAATTATCCCAAGTAGTTATATATTTACATTTAAATTTAAATTCACTAGCCACACTTGGCCATGCTCTTTTAATTTTAAAGGGAGTTTAGTATTTTGCACATGTAGGAAATTGCATCAATTTAAATCTTTAATTTGCCTCCTTTGATTTAGCCATGCATGAGCATAGCCACCTACAAAAAATTCTGTGAGCATCTAGATTGTTTCTAACCTAGGGGTAATCTATCGTCCATCACATCAAGTCTCAGCTTACAAAAATAAATAAATAAACAAATACATCAATCATTATTACAACTAGTATGCAGTGAAAATCATGAGAAAGCCCATCACATAGCACCAAGAAAATAAACATTGGCCAAACCTAAAGCTAGGGATGGTTATCCTAACAAA